TGTGGTACACATGATATTGCTGTGGATGACATGTACACCACATCACAGTTATCCCTCTCTAACCCGATCAAAGATACGTGTCAATGTCGAGGAGCTCCAAAGCTCAAGTCCCTCTCCTCAGCTCAAGTCTCCCCTCTATATCTCCATTTACACACCATGGCATCGGGCCACGCCACCGTCAAGGCCGTCCTGTCGGGCGACACGCTGGTGCTTATCGGCGCGGCTACCAATGGGCCTCCCCCGGAGCTCATGCTGACGCTGTCATCACTCCAAGCACCGCGTCTGGCGCGTTCCCCGGAGCAGAGCAATGAGCCGTACGCGTGGGCGAGTCGCGAGCACCTGCGCAAGTTGTGCATCGGCAAGCAGGTGCGCTTCAAAGTGGAATATCGCGTCCCGGCCATCAACCGCGACTTCGGCTCCGTGTGGCTTCCCCCCAATGCGCGCGGCGTGGAGGAAAATCTATGCGTCATCCAGGCGCGTACGGGCTACGCACGCGTCAAGACGCTCGAGCAGTCGCGGGATGGCGTGTGTGTGGACCACGAGAAGATGCTGCAGCAGGAGCAGGTGGCGATTAATGAGAAGAAGGGGATGTACGCTGACGCAGACGCCGAATCCAATGCCACAGTCCAGTGGCACGGCGCCGACTCCGCCGCGTTGCTACAGGAACACAAGGGCAAGCTGGTTCCAGCCGTTGTAGAGGCTGTTCGGGACGGAGCCTCGTTGCGTGTGATCCTCAAGCCTTCGCTGCAACTGGTCAACCTTGGTCTGTCCGGAGTACAATGTCCCCGACTCAACCCGCCTGTCAACGCTGCAGAATCAGAGGAGCCTGTTCCGACTGGACCGGCGCCTCATGCACGCGAAGCCAAACACTTTACAGAGGTGCGACTGTTGCACCGTGACGTGGAGCTGAAGCTCGAAGGCGTGGACAAGTACGGCAACTTGTTCGGCAGTGTCGTGCATCCCTCTGGTCGTAATATTAGTGTGGAGCTGCTGAAGAATGGGCTGGGACGGATGGCCGACTGGAGCTCGGCATTCACTAGCGCGTCAGCTCGTGCTACGATGCGCAACGCTGAGAAGGAGGCCAAGCAGCAGAAGCTGCGAGTGTGGAAGGAGTACGAGGCTCCTGTTCTGCAGTCTGACAAGCACATGACGGGTACTGTAGTGGAGGTTATCAGTGGTGACTGTCTGGTCGTGTACGTGCCCGATGCTGCGACTCCAGCGGAGCAAGAGAAGCGAATTTACTTGAGTTCATTGCGTGCTCCTCGTCTGGGTAATGCTCGTCGTGGCGAGCCCAACGCTCCGTACGCTGCTGAAGCCAAGGAGTTTCTGCGTCATCGTGCGATTGCCAAAACTGTGCACCTTGAAGTGGAGTACGAGAAGCCCAGTCCTTCCGGCCAGGGCGACGTCATGACCTTCGCCTCCGTGTTTTTGGAGCCGTCGGCTAATGCTTTGAAGAAGAACCCGCAGGCCAAGGGCGCTAACTTGGCTATCGACGTTGTGGCTGCTGGACTGGCTGAGGTGGTGCGTCATCGTCCGGATGAAGAGAAGAGCGAATACTACGACGACCTCGTGACGGCGGAGACGAAGGCTCAGACTCAGAAGAAGAACCTGCACTCGTCGAAGGAACCTCCTGCCACTGAGCGTCGTGTGACTGACTTGTGCTTTGATGCGACCAAGGCCAAGCAGTTTTTGCCGTTCTTGACGCGTGAACGTTCCACTCGTGCTGTAGTGGAGCACGTGTACTCGGCTACGCGTGTGAAGCTGTTTGTGCCCAAGGAGAACTGTCTTATCAACTTCGTGGTGGCCGGTATCAAGTGTCCGCAGCCTGCTCGTCACGGTGCTCAGGGTGTGATCGTACAGCCGGCTGAGCCTCTTGGAGAGGAGGCCAAATTGTTCACTAAGCGCAGTGTGATGCAGCGCGAAGTGATGGTCGAGATCGAGGACATGGATCGTGGTGGTAACGCCTTCGGTCCTCTGTTCGTGGTGCCCAATGGTGGTGGCAAACCTCTGCGTGACGACCAGCACAACTTCGGTGTACGTTTGTTAGAAGAGGGTCTGGCTTGGGTGGATTCGTTCAGCGTGGAGCGTACAGCTCTTGGCAACGTGCTTCAACGAGCTGAGGAACGCGCCAAGGCCCAGAAGAAGAAGTACTGGGCTACTCACGATGCTCAGGCTGCAGCCAAGGCAGCTCAGACGAAGCAGGTCAAGACAAAGGATGATGTGATCCCTCGTGTCAAGCTGTCGGAGATCGTCAACGGTACGCACTTCTACATCCAGAACATGGGCGACCGTAACTGTGCTGCGGTGGAGGAGAAAATGAAGGCTTTCACACGTACTCACGGCCTCGCTGGCAAGGCGTTCGAAGTGCGTCGCAACGCTGTGTGTGCTGCTCTGTTCGACGACGGCAACGGATCTGCATGGAACCGTGCCAAGGTGGAGTATGTGCATCCGGACGGCTCTGCTCGTGTCCGCTTCCTGGATTACGGTAACGAGACCACGGTGACGCCTAACCGTCTCCGTCCGCTGGATGCCGACGTGCTGCAGTTCCCACCTCAAGCCAAGGAGGCAGTGTTCGCCTGGATCAAACCACTTGCTGCCACTGAAGAGTTCGGAGCCGACGCTGCCATGCGTCTCGGTGAAGTCGCGTGGGGCAAGACGCTGTCGTGTCGTATCCACAGCACAGATGACCATGGCCGCATGCAGGTGTCGCTCTACCTGCCAGACGGCAAGAGTGTGGCTGAGAACTTGGTGGAGGCCGGACTGCTGCGTACCGACCGCAAGGCGCTTCGCTCGTTCCAGGTCTTCCAGAAACCGGTGGTTGATGGACTTCTCAACGCTCAGGAGACCGCCAAGAAGCAACGTCGTTGTCTGTGGCAGTACGGTGACATTGAGTCTGACGACGAGCACGGCCTGTAAGGAAGTGAGACTGAATCATAGGAGCTCGTAGCACTTTGAAATGCAACTAAAATGTAAAAAAAATTCAACGTTCTCGACGTGATATCAACAGATGACGTCGCTTACTCGAGTGCAGGCATGTCGTCGAACTCTTCGGCTTCTGCTTTGAGCTTCTCCTGCTTCTCGAGCTCCTTGTTCTTGGCCTGCAGACGATCAAAGATCTTCTCCTTGTACAGTTTCTTCTCCTCCTCTTTGTACTTAGCTGCGTACTTATTCAACAACGCCTTCACAAGGTACAAATCAGTTGATATTCCTACTCGATGAGCAATCAAAGAGAGACGTACATGACTCCGCTTGAGGTCAGCCAGTGCGTGCTGCATCTTCCCGTCGCTGGAGTCACCAATGAGCTCCTTAGCCTTCTCCAGACTCTTTTCGGCCTCGTGTGCGTACTCGAAACCCTTGTCGACAATCCAGAACTCGCCCTGCTTTTCCTTTTCCAGCTCAGCCTTGAGCTTCTCAGTGAACACAAGACCGCGACGGAAATGGCCCTTACTGTTCTTCGGGTCGAGCAGGATGGCTTGGTCGCAATCCCAGAGTGCATCCTCGATCTTCATGAGCTTGATCTTACACAACGCGCGGTTGAGATACAACACTAGCTTCACTTTGTTGATCTTGTCCTTGTCTTCCTGGGACACAAAGTTTTCCCACTCCTCCTTCGCATAGAAAATATGCACGAATCCCTACAGTAGGATACGCATAATAAAACGTTAGCACGAGCGAGATGGGAATAAATTAGTAGATAATATCTTACTGAGTCGTAGCACTTTTGCGCTTGGTCGTAGTCTTTCTTGGCGATCAATGCATTACCCTTCTCCTTCTGCTCCAATGCGCTCTCGATGCGCTCATCTAACGACAAAGTGTAACAACGTAATTAGTATTGTGTAAACTTGTTAATCAGGCTATCAGTACCGACGCACCAACAGTAGGGGGCGGGTTTTCTTCGAGCATTTTCTTGTCCTCCTCGTGCTGCTTCTTGCGAGATTCTGCGAGCTCGGCTTGGGTCGGGAATCGAGGCAGCGGGTCCTGTTCGTCATGTACGACAGACTTCAGTACACTAAGCAACAAAAACTAAAAAATAAACAAAACACGTACCTTGAAGCTCAGTAGCTCGATCTCAAAGTCGAGAGTCTCGTCCGGCTCCACTTTGGGCGCGAAACCTTCGTGGCCGTATCCGTACTCCGGAGCAATGATGAATCGCGCAATCTCGCCCACGTTCATGGTCGCCACACCGATATCCCAGCCCTTAATCACCTTCTCTGTAACATTAGTAAAAAAAAAAACTATGTTATCATTTATTCTCTAACAAAATGACGACTGCTTCCACCCACCTCGACCCAACTGGAACTCGAACGGGTCATCTGTACCGCCCACGTGCTTCCCGTCAATGACATCACGACTGCAGCAAAAAAAATTAGTAATCTTTCTTTAAAATAATAAAAATATAGCCATCTTACGTCGTGTCGAAGATGGATCCATCCATGAGCTTTCCCACATACTGCACGAACGTCGGACAGCCTTCCTCCAGCCTCAGTTTGTCACTCAGTTCCCCCTCCTTAATAATCTAGAACGAGCATACAAAGGTAACATAGTACCATTAAGTTCTGCATACCTAAAATACTAGAAAAAAAAAATACTATGTAGCCACCTTCTTGAGAACGCCGCCATCGGCCTTAGGCGATATGTCGATGAATCCTTCGTCTCTGCAGAATTTGTTGGTGTCTGGGTCGAAGAAAGCCTTGGTCACGCGAGCACAGTGTGTGCAGAGCTTCTGCGGGTTGGTGACCAGCCCAACGCCACGGCCACAGCACTCAATGCAGCGCGGGAGGTCGGCGGCGCTCACACTCGAGCTCTGCGGCTGCTCTTCTGGTTCCGAGTCGGACATGTTGGAATGTAGCCATGATCTGAGCTTTTCTGGAATATTATGTAGCCAATGTGTTTGATTACTGTGGGCCACACTACATCTACTTCTTTTTTAACCAATTGTTACCCGGAATGCGTTCCATCTTTTGAAATAATGCGGATAACACCAATTATTGTCATTTTCTTGATCTGGAGACCATAGTCACATGAGTGTTGGTCAACGCGACAAAGTCTCTCCACCGACATGCACTTTGGCTCGATCCAATCTGAGAATTTGTTTTCAGTACCTCTGTCACCATTGTACCATGTATCTCGAAAAATGTGTTCTGGGCAGGTCCCTGTAGGAAATTTCAGATATTTGCAAAGATATACAAGTCCCTCGTGGTTGAATTTATATCTACTGTAGTGGAGATCCGCCAGCCCACAGTGTAGCGTACGAGACTAATGCCGTGCCGTGCCCGGAGATGCTCTGAATATTTGCGTATTAGCGTTTAGTTTAACTACTGTAGTTTATTTGACGTGACCAGTGGACGTAAGTTTGTTGCTGAGCAAGGCGGCCGAGGGCAACTTGCCACTTCTAAGTGAAAATCAATTTTTCAGCCAATCAAGCTTCGGTATAAGGAATGTTGTGCGAAGGTCGCTTTTCACCGACT